CTGTTCTGATTGGGTGCTTTCTGTTGTCCTGTCTTCTAGGTCACTTATTTGTTCCTCTGCATTATCTAGCCTGCTTTGTACAGCCCTTAGGTCAGGTCTCATCTCAGCAAGTGAGTTTACTAATTCTACTTGGTTCTTCTTTATAGCTTCTATTTCATTTTTGACATATTTTATATCTCTAAACACTATGTCTTTTAGTTCCTTCAGTACTTTGATCAGTCCTTTATTGAAATCTTGATCTAGTAGGCCATCAATGTCTATTTCCTTGATCGTGCTTTCAGGGGATTTCTCTTGATTTAATTGGGAGTGGTTCCTCTACTTCATGTTGCTCATATCTCTCTGGCACTGTGTCTTCAGGCGTATCAATTATCTAGTTCTCCGGAGACGGTGTGCTCTTAATGATTTTATCGAGAGGTCTTTGTGTCTTCACCCTGTTTTGCAAACTCAGCTTGCTGTTTCCAGGGGCCCTCTGTTGGCGCCCTCATCTGTGCTGCTCCCATTGGCTGTCAGCTAGCAGATCGCGCCCCCTCCCAACACTGGGTCAGATGCTGAGCTCTTACCTGGTGGGCAGGCAGGTCACTCCCCATCCTGATGCTGCAGTCAGATGCTGCGCTTGGTGAGGCAGGTGGACGGATCGTGCCCCCTCCCAGCACCCCCCTCAGGTGCTGCATTCCTGCCAGGAAGGTGGGTGGCCGCCTGCCCTCTCTGGGTGCCGGTTGCTCTGCTGCTCTGTGCAGCTGCCCGCTCCACCTCGGGTCAGCACCCCTAGCAGGCTCAGGGAAGACCACGGAATGGCTCCGCCCCTGCTCCATGCCAAATCTCAGCTCCTTATTTGTTTTGACAGCGCAAGTTCTCTGCGGTGCCAGGGCAGAAAGATCCTATCTGCCTCGGGCTGTAAACAAGTCTCAGTCCTGCCTAGGAAGTTGCGGAGCCCCTGGGTGCAGATTCAGGTCTCGGCCCCGGCCCCGCCTGGGTGTTGCGCACATGAGGAGATGGCGGCTGTGGCTGTGCCCACCTGTCTTCTTGCGAGAAGCACCAGTAATGGCAGCACAGGTCTGAGGAGACAAAGGCTACGGCGCCCCTCCCCCCAGGGCACACCAGCCGTGTTGCTTTATTTTTTTTGCAATTTATAGGGGACCGAGGTTGTTCTGCTCTGTATCCCTTTCCAACCATGGTGCACAGCACCCTGCAGTTCCCCGGGGCTGCCTCAGTGCAGCCACCCCAGTCCTCCACCTGGCTTGGGCAGCCTGGCCCAGCCCCAGCTGCCGGCTCGCGTCTCGGGCTGGGTGTTGCGGGGACCCTTTGTGCCCATTTAACTCAGTTCTGTCAGTTAAGGGGTGCTTGGGGCAGATCTGAGCCTCGGAGGCTCCCCCTCTGTCCCGCTGGCCTCTCTGTTGGAGAAGGGAGACCTAGCGAATGAACATCAGTCC